GCTCCGCCGGGGCCGGGGCCGAGGCCGAGGCCGGGGCTAGGGGGCGGGCCCGGGCCCAGGCGTCGCCGACGCTCGTCGCTGTCCGTCTGGATAAAGAGGCTCCTCGGCTGGTGGGCCCGAAGCCGTAACATCGCCTTCAGGTGGGAAAGGTGTGGACAGGGACAGTGCTCGCCCAGAACTCTGCCTGCTTTAACACAATCTGGGAAATCCGAGAAGTCTCCTAAGTCGTTTTCTCCACCAAATTTTTATGGATTGGTAGTCACTTAGATAATCGGGATATGGTTTTATTGTAACAATGAGCATGGTAGAAATAAATGGAAGGTGGCAACCTGTTGACAGCGATACTTGTCAAGTATCATCCGGTGGACTTGGGTTGCTCATGGTAGGAATTTGATTTGCAGTTTTGCATGCTCGCATGTGCTTGGTTACCTGATGCACGGCAGTCCAGTCTAGGGCTGTCCACTGTTCGAGGCCACCCACTAGGAGAGGACCCACTGTCTGCTGTCTACTGAGGACCCACTGACTGGGCTCTCTCGGTCGTGGAGCGGCCGTTGCAGGCGGTCACTCATCAAAGGGAGTGAATGGTCAGTCGGGTGCCGAGTGTCGCTTGTAAGTACAGGATGTGAGGCCCCTTGGAGGTTGACAAAAGGAATGAATGAGGTCATTTTGCCACTGGGTTGGGCAGGAGGCTGCAGTGGGAGAGGCTTGACCGAAAGGCAGCAGCCGCAGCACTGGACCATCACAGCCTGCACTTCGATTCCAGCCCAGCAAGTGGACTCCAACGAAGGGTGCCCTCCAAGTGGGTTGGTTTTACTCTTCTGTCAGGATTCCAGGGGAGTCTGCTGCTTGCTCACCAAGGCAAGGTTTGTTCCCATGTGTTCAATCAGCTGAAGCAGTAGTGAGGCCAAAGGGCCGGAGAGCCCCACTTTGAGCCATTATGGCTAGGCAGAGCACTTGCTAGGGGTTGTTTTATAGTCTCACTGTGACCTTGGGGTGGGAATTCTTAGCTTCTCTTGTCATAGTTCCCTTCCTTTGTTATCTCATCCAGTCTCCTGGCTTTAATGCCAGTTTTCCTTGACATCTTCCATGTCTCCATCTCCAACCCTGGCCTCCTTTCTGCGCTCTAGCCTTGCATTTCTAGCTACCTTTTCCACATCTTCATGTGTTACTTTGATGCCAGGTAGCTGTGTCCAGACCAAACTCCAATCTCCACCCATGCCCAAACATTCCTCATTGCCTTTCTAAGGTCACCTTGATTTCTCTCTTACGCCTTTGTGCAACCCTCAGGAAGCCCTTTCAGCTTACCTTCTATTTCCAGCAACGGACCATTTTTCAATACCTCCAACTTAACGTCCTGGTCCAAGATACCTGGTGAGCCTCTTAATTCTTCTCTTTGCTCTCATCCTTGATCCCCACCCCCATCTATCCACCTGTTTTTCTGGACACAGTTATTCTTTTAAACTGTAAAGTGATAGAAAACCGAGGCTGTATGGACTCAAGCCAGCTTGCCCGGGTGGTAAAACAGCTCCAGTACTTCTAGCTGTGTGACCACGAGCAAGTTGTTTAACCTCTCTGTGCTTAACCTTTCTCTCACATTGCTTGTGAGCACTGGGTGAGTTAAAATGAGTAAAGTGCTTAGACAGGGCCTGGCTGAGGGTTGACTGCCACTGTTCTCCTTGGATCAAGCAGTGTCACTTTTTGGAACCTCCATCCAATGGTCCGTCTCTCTCAAGATAAGAGCCAAAGTCCTGGCAGCAGCCTAGGAGGCCTAGCCTTGGCCCCGATTGCCCTCACTGACCTGGCCTAATGTCACTCCCCCTTGGCACACTGCTCTAGCTGGCCACACCACACTCCTGCCCCAGGGCCTTTGCTTTTCCTCTTGGTATTGCCTAGAATGTCCCCTCCTCCCTCCCCTGCTATTCACCTGGCTCACTCTGCCTTCAGGGGGATGCTGGCTTGAGACCTTCTCTGACCACCTTTCCCAAAGCTGCCGCCCCTTCCTCAACCCTTCACTTGTTTTGTTTTAGCTTGAACACTTCTCAGCCTGTGACACGGTACATGCTTTCTTAGTTGTTACTTGGCTGTCTCCCCTGCTAAAACGTGAGCCCTGTAGGGCAGGGGTTTTGTCTGTCTTGTGTCCGCAGCACCTAGAACGGTGTGTGCATGCCACTTGGAAGGTTTTCAGCAAACACTTGTTGAGTGAATAGAGAAATTTTACAGAGGAAGAGTGAAAAACACCCCCAAGCTCTGGGGCTGAGCAGGTTTCCTGCTCTTCCAAGAGTGCACACTCCCTTTCTGTGGCTCCTGGACCCTATGCCATGCGCCTCTTTAAGGCTACCCTTCAGCAGCTATTATCTTTGCCTTTCTATGCTGGCTGCTTTTTAGCCTTTAACGTGGTAATGGGCTTCTCCTTCCTGTACTACCATTTGTGTTTGATCCCTCCAATTCTATTTCACTTTTGCTTTTTCTGCCCCAGGATCGTGGATTGACTCACTAGGGTCTCTGCAGACTTGCCAGGTTCTGAGATGTCTGGTCCTGGTCTTAATTGTGGTCTGTAGCACTGGGCATGCTGACCTGTTCTTCTCTGAAATGGTCTTTATTGGTTGCCAGGAGACTGGCCTTACCCACTTGGTGTTCCTTGTTCCTGCCTGGCTGTGGCCTCCTTAGCGTTTACTGCACTTCTGTTTGCCATTCTCTGTGTGCTGTATTTCCTTGATCCTAAGCACCTTTGATGGACACGGCTTTGGGGAGGTATTGTGTTAAATTCCCATTGAATTCAGAAATGTCAGGACATCTTAGCATCTAGGAAATAGAGTGACAGTGCAGTGGCTCTTGCCCTTCCAGCTGCATCTAGGCTGTGGGGACCTCATCTCTTGTTCGTGGTAGTGCCTCCTTCAGAGTAGACCGTCAGTGAATATTTGTTAAGGGAATTAATTAAACTTAAGTCTCCAGTTTTTATGTTGTGTCCCTTTCAAAGTACAACCACCATGCTCTGTTCCTTCACCATAAACTTCATAAACATGTGGTATTTGCTATCTCTTGTTCTTTTTGGGGTCTTCAGAGTATCAGTTTTGTCCATGCAACTGATCAAGCTATCACACACAGGTGTGGGAGAGTGCATATCTGCACTGGTGTACAGAGCATGTGCATGCATGTGTGTTTCTGTGCATGCATGCGTGTGTGTGTGTCTGCGTGTGCTTCTCCTGCTCTGATGGTGGCTCTTCCTCCTGTGGACCTCTGAGTTTTCTGGCTGCCCCCTTGGCCCTGCTTTCTCCACCTCATGTCATCTCTTTTTTTGTCCTGCCCCTGTAACGAAGCTTCCTAGAGTTGCATCCTTAACCCTCCCTCTCTGTGTGGCCACCCTCTTGTGGATTCAACAACTACCTCTTTCTTGATGTATTCTGGCCTTCTGTCTCTCGGCCAGTCATGGCTCCAGAGTTTTATGACACTGACATCTCCAGCCCTATTGTCAGGGCCTCTTTCAAACCTTTGTCCTCTGGCCTGGAGAAATGTCCCCACACCTCAGGCACAGTCACCTGTGTCTGGCAGAGTTGTCAGTTTCCTTTCTCAAATAGGGACCTAATTGTGGCATGAGAGTTGCTTCACCCTTGGTGGCTCCTTATTGCCCCCATGATAGAGCCAGCCTTCAGGTGGCAGCCAGGACTCTGTGCCCTGGTTCCAGCTGTCTCCTATGGCTCCACCCTAAAACCCTGGCAGGTTCCCTTTCCCACAGCCACCCACCCCTCTCCTCTACTGGGAACAGAACTATGCTGCCACCTCTGGTGACCTCAGCGTGCTGCATCACTGTCACTGTCCATGTGCCACATTGTGGGCCCAGGAGAGCCCTGGGGTCTCTGGGTAGCAGAGCACCTGGCCATACCTCTGAGGCCCCTAGTGCTGCAGAGTTGAGCTGAGGGTCTTGTGCTCACCCTCTGACTGACCCAGCCCTTGCAGGTGAGTGGATTGATGTCGCTCTGATGACCTGAGGAAGGCCATGCACTTTATGTGAGCTCCATAAAGGGCGTCCTACCACCGCATGCTTGCTCACCTGATAGAGTGAGTTAGCAGAATGCTGCGGTGAAGATCAGTGTAATTTTTTTTTTATCATTATTGAGCCTTAAGATTATATTGTTTTTGTGCTTTTGAAGTAAGAATTAAAGTGGACAGTTAATAAAATATTTAAGTTTGGACTTAAATTATGATTTAGGTTCTGATGAAAAAGCAAAGTTGGTTTGTTCTGATGCCTAAAAGGTTATCATAGGCAGTATTATTTTAAGCTCTTTACTATGCTGTTAATAGCTCTTGACTCTTAACATGGTACCAGGGAAGTGGAAGGTTTCTGTCATTTCGTGACGATATTTTTAAATTTCTTTACAGGTGGAAGAAGAAAGGTGCCACTTTGGCATGAAGACAGACTCCCTTAGTCGTCAGTCATTTAAGCTGAGTGCATTGTGATTTCCAATAATTGAGGCAGTGGTTCTAAAAGCTGTCTACATTAATGAAAAGAGCAATGTGGCCAGCTTGACTAAGCCGCCAGCGTGTGCAGCGCGGGCAGGACGGCACCTGGGTCTCGACGGACTTGTGCATGTTAGCTTTATAGATTTTATGTAAGGTTTTTTAAAACTCTGGTCTTTTAAAATAGTCTTAACCGCTTTTAATATGGAGACATATGAGAGTCCCTCTCCTCTCCCGCGTGAGCCCGCAGGAGAAGTGATGATGGAGAACCGAGCTTGCCCCTTCCAAGTGCTGCCCCGTGAACAGTCTCCACCACCTCCCCTGCAAACGTCCAGTGATGCAGAGGTAATGGACGTTGGCTCTGGTGGTGATGGACAGTCCGAACCCCCTGCTGAGGACCCGTTCAACTTCTACGGAGCTTCTCTTCTCTCCAAAGGATCCTTCTCTAAGGGCCGCCTCCTCATAGACCCGAACTGTAGTGGCCACAGCCCACGCACCGCCCGGCACGCACCTGCGGTCCGGAAGTTCTCCCCTGACCTTAAGTTGCTTAAGGATGTAAAGATTAGCGTGAGCTTTACCGAGAGCTGCAGGAGTAAGGACAGGAAGGTGCTGTACACAGGAGTGGAGCGCGACGCTCGGGCAGAATGCGGTCTGCTCCTTAGTCCTGTCAGTGGAGACGTGCATGCTTGTCCTTTTGGCGGGAGTGTTGGTAACGGGGTAGGCATAGGGGGTGAGAGTGCTGATAAGAAGGATGAGGAGAATGAGCTGGATCAGGAAAAGAGAGTGGAGTATGCAGTGCTCGATGAGTTAGAAGATTTTACTGACAATTTGGAGCTAGATGAAGAAGGAGCAGGCGGGTTCACGGCTAAAGCAATCGTTCAAAGAGACAGAGTGGATGAAGAGGCCTTGAATTTCTCCTATGAGGTATGTTGGTGACCCCTCTTTTGGAAGGCTCTTAGTGAAACACAGAAAGAGTTTTGGGGGTTGCAGCAGCTTTTGAAAGCAGGGAAATTAAAAAAAAAAACTAAAACAAAACCCCATGTGAGGGGAAATAAGGTTAATGTGGAGAAGAGAAAGATGTAAGGAGTCTAGATTTTAAAGTTTCTTAATGAAAAGTTTGACCAACAGGTTGGTCTTGTACCCTTTATCCAACCTGTGTCGGCAGGTGCTGCTGAGAAGGCTCCTTGGTGGTGGGTGCACTGGACCAGGTGTGTTGGTTTCAGTTGTCAGTTTTATCCCATTTGTTTTTCAGATGATCATGCATCATAAAGGCACACCCAGAGCCTTCCTTGAGTGCCCTCTTTTCTGTGTCCATTCTCACTAATGCTGTTAGCTTGCCTGTGGGGCAGGAGTGTGGACACTGGGATTATGGTATCTGAACAGTATGTTTTGCAGGATGACTTTGACAACGATGTGGATGCTCTGCTGGAGGAAGGCCTTTGTGCTCCCAAAAAGAGGCGAATGGAGGAAAAATATGGAGGAGACAGTGACCATCCATCTGACGGAGAGACAAGCGTGCAGCCAATGATGACCAAGATTAAAACAGTGCTCAAAAGTAAGTGGTGGGTTAGAGAGTATGAGTGTTTCCACAGCAGCAGAGTGGTTGTGTCTTTAACAAAAATGCTTTGAGAGCCCGCTGGTGCCGGGCATTGGGCTGTGTAGAGGCTTGTGTTTGAGCACAGGACAGTCATGTTTGATGAAAGGAAAGCAGGCAGGACACAGAGATGCACCCAGACATATGACCCAAGTACAGACCCAGGAGAGTGCTATGGAAACCATAGTGTGGCAGGTGTTCTGCTGAGGAATGGGAGGGGACTTTTGATGGGGTCAGGAGTGGACCCTTGAGGAAAGGACATTGGTCTGTGCCAGGAGACAATGCACCTGGGGGTGTGGAGGCTGAGGACAAAGGTTGGTGCTCAGTGAGGTAGCAGCTGATGACCATGGTCCAGGCTCTGATTCTATACTAGATGTTGTGGGAAGCCCCCAGAAGCAGGCATTGTTACCCAGTTTTTGTTTAAAAGCATGGCTCCTGGACACAGCATGGTGTGTGTACTGTAGGTGGGCAGGGTGGAAGCCCCTTGGGTAGAGGTGGAGGTATTTCAGAGGTGCAGGCAGTGTGACTTGCACTTAGATTTGGAGATATAGGGGAGAACAGTCAGGAGGTACCCAGAGCTGTGCTTATGAGGCTCTGTTGTTGATGCGGGGTGGGTGTGGGAAGCGTCGGGATTGGTTTTTGTCTTTACTGGGTTGGAGGCACCTGTGAGCATCCTCGTGGAGATGTTGGCTTGGTACAGGGCCCGAAGAGATGCATGGGGATTCAGGAACACCGGTGAGACTGTGGGCTGAGGGCCAGGATGTAGAAGGCGGGCTCCCTGTAGAGCATGGAAGGGGTTGGGAGTAGTGTTTTATAAGCTGGTGACTGTGTGTGGCTCAGTTGCAGTAAAGACTTGTCACCTGGACACCAGGAACAGTGGCTGCCAGACATGCAGTATGTTAGCAAAGCTTTCCCAGCCCCTGGGGTGCTCTGACCATGGCCGAGCAGGCAGGAGAGGAATCTTGTGTCCAGGGCACTCGTGCTGATTTGACACATAAGTTCTGACCTTGCTGTCCTAGGCCTGGGGTACAGCAGTGAGTGAGGTGGACAGGAACTGAAAGTCTCTGGGAAGACCAAATGAACATAAAAGACCAGATATGCATAAACACGGAGCAGTTTCATGTGTGGGAAGTGCCATGGCGACAGTTCTAAGTCTTTTAAAGTGATTGCAGGATGTTCTCGTCTCCCATGTAGGTCGTGGCCGCCCACCTACGGAGCCGCTGCCCGACGGGTGGATCATGACATTCCATAACTCCGGAGTCCCCGTGTACCTACACAGAGAGTCTCGGGTGGTCACCTGGTCCAGGCCGTACTTCTTGGGCACGGGAAGCATACGGGTAGGGGAGGCAACAGTCTCGAATTTAGGCTTCTAAGTTCCAAGACTGAAACATGCACATCTGCACACGTTGCACTGTAGCCAAACAGAGGCCGGTGAAAGGCATCAGATTTTCAGAACTTCAGGTCATCCTTGTGACTCATGTTGCAATTTCACTATCCACAGAAACACGACCCTCCTCTGAGTAGCATCCCCTGTCTGCATTACAAGAAAATGAAGGACAATGAGGAACGGGAGCAAAGCAATGAGCTCACCTCTGGTGGGGAGGTGTCCCCTGTCAAGACCCTGAGCCGATCTGCAGAACTGGAGTTCCCCCTGGAAGAGCCCGACTCCATGGGTGCTGACTCGGGGCCCCCGGATGAGAAGGACCCTCTTGGGGCTGAGGCAGCCCCTGGGGCCCTGGGGCAGGTGAAGGCTAAAGTCGAGGTGTGCAAAGATGAATCAGTTGGTAAGTTCCCCAAGGGAGCTTTCTTCCCTCCTCACTGCCCAGGACCCGTCTGCACAGGTGCTGCTGCATTCTACATCCTTCCTGGGTCTCGTTCATCCTTCCTAGATCCTAGTTGTGTCTGTGAGTGTCTGCTCCCACATGGCTAGGAAGACCAGTCTCTCTGTTCTTGTGAGAATCTGCCTGGGCTCTGCAGGACCTACATGGCCTTTTTCTCTGGTTGCTTGTACACTCTTTCCTGACGTATTGCTGTTTTGGTAGGATATGCTCATGTGGTGGTGCTTTGATTTATCCTGATGAGCCTCAGAGTGTGCCTCTTTTGTCCGTGGACTCATTGTTGGGAAACTGCCACTATTCCGTGGGCAGTTCCTTCTTCTTAAATCCCACAGTTGCTTTTTGGGTACATCCTGGAGTTTACCATTCTCTCTTCTGTGTCTTTTAGCTTAGTTCTACCCATTCAAGTCTTAGCTCTCACTTCACTCGTGGCAGACCTTTCAGTTCACCTGCTGAGTCACTTTCAAAGAGGACTTTCCATTTTCAGGATTTCTGCTTGCCTGAATGTTGCTACCCAGCCTATCTCATGGTTCTATTGAGTGTGAGGTGCCCTAGAAGAGCTGTGTGGGGTGGGAGCTGCTGCTGAGGAAGGGGAGGTGGCCTGGGAAGAGTCGTGACAAATGTAAAGGCCCCAAGGCAGGGCGCTGCCTGGGTGTGTGTTACTGAGTACAGAGGCAGCAGGGGCAGCCAGAGGGAAGAGAGTGAGGTGGTCAGAGCAGTGCTGGGCAGCCAGGGGCACATGGAGCATAAACCGTTGTTGGCAGTCAGGAGAAAGGCCCAAAGGCCACCTGAGTTTTTTGTTTTGTTTTTGACATAGCTGGCTGGTACAGGGATCTGGACACTTGACCTTGGTGTTATGCGATTTTTTTTTTTAAGCTTTCTTTTTTCCTTTTAACTTTTATATTGTTCTTGCCCCAATTAAATAAGGACACCCCAGAAATTTGTCCATAAGGGACCTGCCGGTATAACTTGAGCTGGCAAAGTGAGGGGACCTGATTCTTCGCTTTCCTTGCCCTTTGAAAGGGACAGAAAAGGAAAGAGTTGTCTTGTGGCCTGGGTCCATCTGATGGTCAGTCCATCGCTGTCCTGTGCACTGGGCTGAGGGAATATGTCTCCTACATTGGAATTTTAGTAATTGGGTTCTTTGGTAAATCTTGGGCAGATCTTGAGGAATTTCGGAACTACCTGGAGAAGCGTTTTGACTTTGAGCAAGTTACTGTGAAAAAATTTAGGACTTGGGCTGAGCGGCGGCAGTTCAACAGAGAAATGAAACGGAAACAGGCCGAGTCTGAGAGGCCCATCCTGCCGGCCAATCAGAAGCTCATCACTTTATCCGTGCAAGATGCCCCCACCAAGAAAGGTAAATTAGGCTTGTACATTTAAACATCAGCAGACTGGTTATGTTGTTATTTTTAATTTGATATGCTTAGAGCATATGTTTTGTGAGTGAGTTGCATTTTTTTTTAAAGCTTTCGTTTATCCTATGAAGGCAGAGGCTTGCCACATTCACTGTGGTGAGCCTCTAAATGATGACTCGGTAACACAGATGGTGCCAGGCCCATGAGTGCTATTTTGCGGCAGCTCCTCATGCTGCTGCTGAGACGGTCCTTCTTGTCACAGAGTTTGTCATTAACCCCAACGGGAAATCCGAGGTCTGCATCCTGCACGAGTACATGCAGCGTGTCCTCAAGGTCCGCCCCGTGTATAATTTCTTTGAGTGTGGTAAGTTTGACCCCTCCGCATTTCAGTCCTAGTCTCAAACATACACATGTCACTTTGGTCAGTGCTGGGGAGGTGGGAGCTGACCGTTAGCCCTGCCGTACTGGGACAGAAGTGAAGGGAAGGGCCAAGAGAAGCGTGTTGCAGATGGGGGTTCATTTTCACGGAGATGTGCCCTATCTGAGGGTGAATGGCTCTGCTTTCTCCTTCAAGTTTGTCAACCCCCCTACCCTCCACTTTGCCTTCCTCTTGTCCCATCTTGTCTGCCGTGCTGCCTCCTGATCCTGTTTCTTGCGGACAACCTTGTTGTGAGGAAGGCCTACCTGCTGTGCGCTGGGTCCTTTCCCTGGTCTCCCGGTGCCCCCAGGTAGAAGAAGGGTCCTTAGGCCTACACTTTGTGCTAGCTCTGTCTTCCGTGGGCACCCTCATCACACCTTATGAGACCAGTTTATCTTCTCCTTGGAAGCTGAAGCCTAGGGGTCACTCATCTTTTAGGGTGTTGTTTCTTTGGCTCGCTAAACCTTGTGCCTCCTCACCCCTAACAGTCCTGTGTCCGTCTTTCATAGACCTTGGTCCCTGTCGCAGCCCTGTTTCCACACCTCAGGGAGCCCCCAGGTCTCTGCGGGCAAGCATGGACTGGCTCTCTGTAGGGGCGGCCCGACTGCACCTTGTCTGTTAGTGTGTGCAGACTGTGTGTCTGTGTGCATGCACACGCCCACATGCGTAAATGTGCGCATGCTTTTAATGTCTTGGCAAGTGTGTTTTAAAACAAGTAATTTTAATTTTAAGAGAACCCAAGTGAGCCTTTTGGTGCCTCGGTGACCATTGATGGTGTGACTTATGGATCTGGAACTGCAAGCAGCAAAAAACTTGCGAAGAATAAAGCTGGTAATGTGCTTGCTTGGGTGTCACAGAGACACATGCTGCCTGCCATGCCTGCCTTGTCCCTTGGTTAGGGAGGGGCTGAGCATTGGTGGCAGATTGGGGGGCGTGGGTGGGGCACATTCATTTTACTTACGTAATCATCTATTTTGATTTTTGAAAGTATGTGCTCATAGGAAAAGACTTAATCAGAAAGTAAAATGTGAGACTTAGGAAGTAGAAAGCCCGTTTCTGCCGAGCGACAGCTGGGCCCATGTCTCCCATCCTTGTCCTGGCCGCACACGGATTTGGAGTGTGCGCAGAGCTGACTGGGCATGTTGGGCGCACACTGTGGAGTGGGTTTGTTTTTAAACTGAACACAATGTGGGCATGCTAGGAGAGAGGAGGTGTACCAGCATGTTGTCAGCACTCTTCTCGAGTGATTTTGACATTTGTGAGGACTATTTCCTGAGTCCTCAGACTCCATATTTTGGACTAACCACTCCTTGCACACATCACAGCACATCTCTGGGAAAGCTTGTGTTTTCTCATTAGAACCCACTGCTCTTCTGGACCATGTCCTTGGTGTTCACTTTCATGGCCAGCACTGGTAGTAGGTGACATTCTTTCACAAAAGCCATTTGCCCCAGCAGCAGGCACCTCTTCTGAGGACTCTGGACCACATTGCAGGGTGGTATTGGGTGTACCCCAAGCTCTTGCACCCATATATTTATTGAGGTTTCTACCATAGCCACATTGTCTTCCAGAGAAAGTCTGCCCTTTACAAAACAGGAAGTGTGTCAGTTTTGTCACAGTCTCACTAGGTCTTATGGGCAGTGAAAGTGATTTTTGCTCATGGGAACCAGAGTGTCCCTTGGTGTTGCTTTCTTTTGATGGGGAATGCTGAGGACGATTGGACACCTTTCTGCATTGTATTTACTCTCTGTCCCTTTCTCTGCAGGGCTGTCCTGGGCTCACATACTCTGCCTCATTCACCAGGAAGGCCTGCTGTTTGTTTTATTTTTTAAACTTTTTTGTGGCTGGCCTAGGCATTGGTGTTATCAGCACCATGCTCTAACCAACTGAGCTAACCAGCCAGCCCCTACTGTCCGTTTTAGAGAGGTCTGCCTAAAAGACTTTGTCAGCTCAACAAATGGGGAGGTTACTGAGGTTTTGAGCTGATAACCTGCAGTGTGGGGTGTAGAATGGAGGTGGAGATGTCCCGAAGTGTGGCCCTGCTGCTGTTCCCTCTGGACTCACCCGCTTTCTTCCCTGCATGCTGGAATCCACTTCCTCTTCCCAGATTCCAGCTTTTCTCTAGACATGTTCACTGGGATGTCTTGCTGGCACTTAGAGCTCAGCAGGGTCAGACCGAGCCATCAGCCTACTGGCTGTTGTACGCATCTCTCCTCCAACACTAGTGGCAGTGGCAGCCCTGTTCATATGGGTGCCTGTGCTCTCAGCCTTGGGCCATAACCCATGCTCTACCCAGTGGACGCTCTCTCTGGAGTGCCCATTGGATCTGGATGCTTCTCCCTGCCCACAGCAGCCACTGCCTCTGTCCCCTGGTCTGGATGCCTGCAATAGCCTGCTCTCATGCCTCCTTACCACGTCCAAATGCTGCTGAGTTGCTTTCTCACATACCACCAAAGCCATTCTTCTAAAACGTAGCTCTAAGCTCTTCCCTTGCCTGCTGCCAGGACTTTAGGGTGGAATTGTATGCATGCAGTGTGGCTTCCTGCAGCCTGCCTCGCTGTCTCCCTTCCTCAGGATGTGCTTTTTCTTCCACCCTCTCCTGACTCTGCCTCTCAAGTGCTGCCTCTCCCCAGGGCCCTCGCTCACCCCCTGAGCCATGGGGACAGACGGCAAGTCTGCCTTCCCCTTCACCCTGAGTCGGGGAAGAGGGCTGCACCCAAGCCTCACCCTCAGGCTTTTTCTTTTCATAGCCCGAGCCACACTGGAAATCCTTATCCCTGACTTTGTTAAACAGACCTCCGAGGAGAAGCCCAAAGACAGCGAAGAACTTGAGGTGAGTGTCATGGGCTTGTTGGTGTGTGCAGGGGTTGTCCCCAGGCTGTTGCACCCTCTATGCCCTCTGCTGAGGATTTATTCATCCAGCCTCCAGGTTATTCTGCTTGTTTGTATTTCATAAAAGAGGAAATTGCTTGTCTTTATACATGCAGGGGAAGAAATGTCCTTTTTGTTGAGGGTTTTTGTCCTGTGTTTAGCGTTGTTGGGTGTGCACTATAAATGTAGATCTGTGGTGGGAATGAACCTTTGAGCCTACAAGATTTAGATTGTTCTTTGTATCAAGAACCATTTAAAACTAGCTGTAAACCTTTCGGGCTAAACCTGATTGTAGGGCTTCTTGAATGCTGAAGGGTGCATTCTTTTTTATAACAGCTTTATTGAGATAATTTACACAGCATAAAATTAAACCTTTTAAACTATACAACTCAGTCGATATTTGTATATTTGGAGTAGTATAACCATCACAACTACCTAATTTTAGAATATTTTCATCACCTTGAAAAGAAACCTCATACTCAGCAGTCACTCCCAGTTCTCCCCAGCCTCCGGCAACCACTAATCTGCTTTCTATTTCTATATATTTGCCAAGTCTGGACATTTCATATAAGTGGGATCATACAATACATGGTCCTTTGTGACTGGCTTCCTTCAGTTCATATGCTCTTAGCTGTGGGTTTTTATCAGATTGAGGAAGTTTCCTTCTATTCCTGGTTGGCTGAGAGTTTTTATCAGGAATGGATGTTGGATTTTATCAAATGCCTCTTCTGTTGAGGTGATCAATATGGTTTTGTCTTTCATTTTACTAATATGATTTGTTAACTAATGATATGTTATATTGACTTTTGTTGACTCTTAAACCAACCTTGCATTCCTGGGATAAATCCTACTTGGTTATGTCATGAATTTTTATATGTTGCTGGGTTTGGTTTGCTAGTATTTTGTTAAGGATTTTTGCATCTGTATTAATAAGGGATATTGGTCTGTAGTTTTCTTTACTTGTGATGTCTTTGTCTGGTGTATCAGGGTAATACTGGCTTCATAAAATAAGTTGGAAAGTATTCTTTCCTCTTTTATTGTGTGCAATAGTTTTTGAAGTGTTGATATAAATTTTTCTAATGGTTGATAGAATTCACCCAGTGAAAACTTTTGGGCCTAGGCTTTTCTTTGGAGTTATTTAATTACCAATTCTTTTTTTTTTTTTTTTTTTTTTTTTTTTTTTTTTT